CAGCAGCAACAGCAGAGTGGGGGATGGGGGGCCCCCAGGAAGGACAGGTGTGGGTTTAGGACAGACTGGAGCTATTGCTGGACAGTGGTCTGGGACTGGGTGGACACAGGCACCTCCTGAGCTGCTCTGCCCCTCAGGTCCGTGGGCTGCCTGGCACAGCTGACTCCCCCCTCTATCTTCTTCTAGTTTCCTGAAGCTGGGGATCAGGGCTGCTGGGGGAGGTGCTGCTGCCTCATCCACTCAGGCTACTTACAAGTAGGTTTCGTCCCTGTGACCTCTGCCCACAAACCTTTTCCTTGATCCTCCCTTTTAATTCCCTTTCTGTGTCTCAGCGGGCTGCCTAAGTCTAATACCATACAACCACAACCGGGAACTTCAGGGGGGCAGGGAGTCCCTGTGCCTGCCCCTCTCCCCCAGGAGTCCCTGCCTATGACTGGACCAGGTAGGACAGAGACTTTGGGAAGAGATGGGGGTGATTGGGACCTGGTGTCCTGAGGGAAGAGTGGGACACCGAGGGGATGTCTTTCTCACCTGTCCTTCTCCCTGACTTTGGCCCCCAGCGACAGCACCTGTTCCCCGGCCACTAGGCTCCATTCAGAGACCAAACAGTTTCCTCTTCCGTTCCTCCTCTCAGAGTGGTTCAGGTGGGTCTCCCCGTTCTCCCCAGTACTGCCTACCTTCAGCAAGCCCTGACCATGAGACTAGTGCCACACACTGGTCTGCAAGCTTTCTGGGTCTGTTGTCCCTTTGTGTTGAAAATCCCACAAGCAGAGAGACAAGAAGTGTGGGTGCCGGACACTGACAGCTGGCTGCAGTCAATGGTGTGTAGTGGAGACAGCCCATGCCTTCCTCTTCTTCTTAGGCCCATCCTCCCCAGACTCTGTTTTGAGACCTCGGCCAGCACCCCAGGTTCCAGATGAGAAGGAATTAATATCTCAAGTGCGCCAGGTAAGCAGAGGTAGAACCTTCAGGGGCTGGGCCTGGGCTCAGCATGGTGACTCCTCCAGCTTCTTCCCTCCCTCAACACCCTTTCTCACCCTGGCCCTCCTGTGAGGTAGAAGAGGGGAACTTGTGCATTCCCTATTGACTGACCCCATCTGCTTCTCTCTCCCTTACTCCCAGGTCCTTGAGTCACGGCTGCAGCAGCCCTTGCCTGAGGACCTGGGCGAGGCTCTGGCCAATGGGGTCATCCTCTGTCAGCTGGCCAATCAGCTACGGCCTCGCTCTGTACCCTTCATTCATGTACCCTCACCTGCTGTGGTCAGTTGGGGTGCAGGGAGGAAATAGGGGATGGGTCAGGGACTTCTGTGGCCTCTCCCTTACTCTCTTTTCTTTCTTTACCCATCCTCAGCCAAAGCTCAGTGCCCTCAAGTCTCGGAAGAATGTGGAGAGTTTCTTAGAAGCCTGTCGAAAAATGGGGGTACCTGAGGTATGTATGGGGGCTATTGTCTGCAGTAGAGGGTGGCAGTATCCTGGGCTCAGCTGGTCACATTGCATGGATGGCAGGGTTCTGTTCACAGGGGTGTCTGCTCCTAGAGGAAGCATATCACATGCCACCACCCGCACGTCTCCCCGCCCTGCATGTCTGCATGTTGGCATGGCTCTGGCCTTGGCATGTGAGGGCAGGGGTGGGAAGGACTGGCTGCTGCTGCTGACATCTGTCCTTTGTCCTTGTCCATCTGCCCTACCTTCCCTTCCCAGGCTGACCTGTGCTCGCCCTCGGATCTCCTCCAGGGCACCACCCAGGGGCTGTGGACCACATTAGAGGCTGTGAAGCGGGTGGGGGGCAAGGCCCCCCCGCCTGTCTGGCCCCCCTCTGGTCTGGGTGGCTTCGTCTTCTTCTACGTCGTCCTCATGCTGCTGCTCTGTGTCGTCTACACCTGGCTCCTGGGTTCCTAGGACTGAAGTCACCCCCCATTTCTATTTATAAGACTCCTGTTCAACCCCCATCCCCACCAGTGGTGCCTTCAGCCCCTACCAAAGACACTAGTGTACCCCCCTCACAAACACTGACCTCAGAGGCCCCACTCTGGTATCCCCAGAGCTGGGCCCCCTGCCTCTGGGCCCCCTCCTGTAGCCCCTCACTCACTGCCCCTCACCCTCAGTGCTGATGGTACCTTCCTGTCGTTTTCCCACCCAGCCAGGCCCCGCCCTCTGACCCCCCACCCCCGGAGGGGCGGGAGCTTGGTTCTTCCTTCCCCTCCTTTCCCCCCCCCCCCACTAGCTGCTATGGGGGGCTAAATTATCTCTATTTTGTAGAAAGAACTCTATATTTGTAGCGGATGTGGGGCCCAGGCTGGGTCCCTGGCTCTGTGTATAAACTGTACAGACTGTGGCTGCCTGTGTGTTTGCATTTGCTCCTCCTGTGGCCAGGCTCAGTCCTGGTGGGGCCCCTTGGGCTCCATGTGCCAGCTTGCCTGTTCCAGCATTTGCCTCTGGAAATGACAGGTCTCCCCTGCCCCCTGAACCTTGGTCCTGTATGTTACCTCCTTTTTGTTACCTGCTGACAGCTTTCATGTGCATCATTTGTCCCCAAGCTGTGGACACAGTGTCTACCAGGATGTCCCCGACCTTCACCTCTTAACACCTTGCCCGGGACAGGGAACCTGAGTGGAGGGGGTACCAGGGGGAAATTAACCTGGGCCCCTCCCCCCAGGAGTCCCTGTGCCAGCCCCACCACATCCTGGAAGAGGAGGCGGCCCCTGGAAGGGGTCTCCCCCACATCGCTGCTGTCCTCCACGCACTGCTGGAACGGCCTTAGGGGTGGAGGTAGGGTGCAGGGCCACCTGACCCCGGAACCGAAGACCTCACTAACAAGGACTTGGTGAGGGTGGCCTCCGGCCTGACCCTGGGCCTGGGGCTCCCCTCTGCCCTGGAACCTCCTGCAGCTGAGGGTCTGGATGGAAGACCCGACATGATGTTGTGAGCGCAATAAAGAGAAGCTGGAAGCCCCCTAGGTTGGCCCTCTGGTGTGAGTGTGTCTGTCAGGGAGCAGCGGGAACTTGGACGCCCTTCTCCACAGGGCAGGCGGGGCCTGAAGTGCCCTCCTGAGTGCGCCCATGCCGGGCACGGGGCAGGGTCGGGCTGGTGGACCCTGCCGCCAGGGGGCGCCGGTGGAGCCCGGCGGGAGCTCGCGCCACGTGGTAGGGAGACGGCGCTGGCGTCGGGCGAGGCGTCGTGGCTAGGCCTCAGAAGTGGGCCGTGGACCTAGGCTTGTGCACACGGCCCGGCTGTAGGTTGAGGGAGGCCAAGCGGGGCCCGCGGGAAGCGGACGTGGGGGCACAGCGGCGCTGCCCCGTGCTCCCCCAGACGCAGCATGTTGCCCTGGCCCCCTCAGCCATGGGGCACGGGCAAGGAGGAGTCGCAGGAGGAACCAGGCCCTTTGGCGGGCAGTGACCAAGGGGAGGCCTGGAGCTCTGGAGAGGAAGCTCCGGGGGAGCCAGGAACATCCCCACAGGACAGGTGAGGGGCTTGGCTGGGGCCCCTGGGGGGGCAAACAACAGGGGACCCTCCTCCTTTGTGTAAATTCAGTCTCCCCTGGGATCAGGCACACTTGGCCTTGCCACTAAGCCCAAGGAAGTGTTTGGAAAGGGGATGGTGAGTGAAGCATCTCCTTCTCTTCCCCAGCCAGCAGCCCCAGGCCCTGGGTCCTTCCTGGAGCGGGAGAGAGCAGCAGCTGGCCCGCCACCCCCAGGCCAGGCTACCCAGCGGTCCCCAGAAACCCAAGGTAGGCACAGGCCTGGCTACCTCTACCCTCAAGACCGGCTCCCTGACTCTGAGCCTGTTCTAATCTCTTCAGTTGGCCCCCCTTCCCACTTTCCCCCCAGGTGGCTTGGGAGGTGGCCCCCTCAAGGATGACCCTGCTGTCACCCTGGGACCCCAACTATGAGGCTAAACCAAGACCTCGGCTGGTGTGGGTGAGTTGGGAGGACTGTGTGGCTCTGGCTCAGGGTGGCAGGATGTCCTGGGAAGGGACTGAGGCTCCAGTGACTTTCCTGCTCCACAGGGATCCAGCTGTGGGTCAGGTGCCTCCTTCTCAAGCCGGACACTGTGTCATCCCTCCTTCTGGCCCATGTACGAGGTCTCAGGCGGGGCTGCCAGGCCCCTGGCCCCCACTCCAGGGCATCAGAATGAAGAGCAGTCGCCCAGGGATGCAGGTACTTCCCTAGTGCTTTCCGCTCCCGAGGAGTGGTCTAGACTCCACTAGCATCCTGGTGCTGGGTTGGGAGTCCCCTGCTGCCCCCCTAGCAGGCTCTCTTCCTCAGGGCTCCCAGTGATGTGCTGTGAAGATGTCTTTCTTTTGGACCCTCTGCTACCTTGTGGGCAGCGTGTACCCCTGTACCTGTCTGAGCCCCCTCAGCAGGTGAGAGTGACTGTCCTCTGCCACCCTGACACCCCTCCCCCATTGAGCCTTTCTTTGGAGCCTGGGAGGAAACATTTCCCTTCTCTCTTCAGAACATGGGCTCGCTGAAGCTGCTGCTGCCGCCCCCCATAATGTCCCCCTCAGTCTGCCCCTCTGCATCCCAGGGCTGCTCCACTGCTTGGCTCAGTGGGCCGGAACTGATCGCCCTCACTGGCCTGCTGCAGATGAGTCAAGGGGATCCGAGACCCAGCTCCCCACCAGCTTCCCTGATCCCTGCCAGCTGCACAGCCCCTGTTCCTGTTTCTGACCACCCAGGCCCCGGTGGTAGCCAAAGGTGTTCTGGAAACACTGACCCACCACTTCCACAGACCCAAGACACCCATTGTCCATAGGCCCCTGGGGCAGAGTGGGCCTCCCACTTCACCAGGCAGGTTCTGTTGACAATAAAACTGTTGGTTTGCAAAACAAGCTCCCTGTGACAGGTGGCAGAATAGAGGCAGGAGTGGCTCTCGTCCTCTACTATGGCATTGACTGTCCTTCCCTCAAATTCTTATCTCTCATTGCCCCATCACCATGGGGCAGGGAAATCCACCAACCTAGGACAGTTACCCAGCAGGGTACCTTTAATAGGTGGGGGATGGTCCACAATACAGAGTTGGGGATGAACCTATAGGAAGCAAGGACTTGGTCAGCTCTGCTGGCTTGTGCTTGACTGGGAGCGGTGGACTAAGAAGGAGGCCGGGTGTTTTAAGATCCTTCCATTCTTCTTGAGCTAGGGCCCCAGGAATTCACACTAAGGCACTGCAGGTGTGTGCAGGAACACCAAGCCAAACAGGAACCTTCATCTGTGGCCTAAGAGCCCACCTGAGTCTGATTCTCTAGGAACTCTTTAGGGAAACAGGATCAGGGTTTCAATTGAGAAAGTCCAGAAGTTTATAATTTGGGGAAGAGGTAGGTTGGGGGGAGGTAGAAGAGGTTCTAGAATTCTCTCCCTTAAAAGAACAGAGCTGGCCAAGGGGCAACCCAGTGCCTCTGCAAGTCTCAGATTGGAGGTCAAGACTTTGGCCTTTTAGTCGCGGTAGGGGGTGTTAGAAGGCATGAGCGGGATGGGGGACATTGGTAACTTTGGCGAGTTTCACATTCTTCCGCTGGCCAGTGCCCCCGTCTGCTCACCGGCGCCTCCCAGAGGTTCTAGAACTCGATGCGCGCGTAGCTGTGCGGGCCGGCCCTTGGGCCGTGGCCACGAGCGTCTAGAGGAGGGACCAGGTCCAGGTCGACATAATTGAGGTAGCCATCGGAGGGCGCCAGCCTAGCAGTGTCCTTTTCTACCAAGTCTGGAGCCCCATACTTAATGCACACGTACTCCCCAGCCAGCTTTGACGGCGGCAGAGAGCAGGGCCGAGCACCTGCAGGTCCCCAGCCGTCCCTTTTGCTGCTATGCTCTGGTGCAGGCTTCTGGGCCTTGGACTTGTAGGAAAAGTGCTCTGGTGGAAAGCTCTTCATGGGCATGTACTCCGTGCCTCCCCAATCTGGAAGGGTCTGGTGGGCAGTATCGCTGTCAGCGAGAGGAAGACCTGTGGGCCCCATTACCACATAGCCGTCTGCCTCTCTAACCCCCATGTGCTCATAGTCACTCCTGGCTCCCATAGTAATGTAGCTCGCACCCCCATCGGACTCCTTGGGGTACGAAGCTGCCACTCCCAGCCTTGCCAAGGTCTTAAGGGTTGCTTGCTCCATCCTCTCAACCAAGCCTCTTGGCTGGGCTGCAGAGGCTGGGGATTCATAAGGTTGGGGGACAGGGGGTCTGGAGATGCTCTTTGGAGGATCCCTGGACGGTGGCTCAGGCCTGCCACTGGCACCACTGCCTCCGAGTCTCTTCATAGCGGCCAGGACTGTCTCGTGGATGCTTTGGGCCACTACAGAATCGGGTGCCTGCAGCCACAGTTCCCCGGGACCTGTGGGCGCCGAGCGGCCAAGCTCCAGGAAGAAGAAAGAGTCTGCGTGGCCGCAGCGGCGCACGCAGAGCAGGGATAGGCGCAGGGCGGGTGGCGACAATGCCTGGGTGTCCCGGGATCCTCTGCCCCCCGGCTTCCGCAGTAGGCTCAGGGACCCGGAACCCAGGCATAGGCGGTAGTCGCCGCTGCCCAGGCCTCGTGTTCGCCCCAGACCCTTGGGCCGCAGCGTCACAGGCCAGACGTCCTGGAAAGGAGCGAGGATCGAGGCCCCGGGGTCTTCGTGGGAGCTGGGACCTGGAAGGACAACGGGCTTATCACAGGGGATTCCTTGGGCGGGAGGTTGGAGTCACCGTCCCCGGAGAATTGGAGACGTGTAAACGCTTAATATTTGAACTTTCGGGAGTTGACCTGTGAGAGGGACAGGTTTCGGATAAACCAGGTCTGCAACCCCACCGCCCTAACCCTCCTGATGGCCCGGGGCTTGACAGCCCGTGTTCCAGCCTCACCCGCGGCGGCGGCGGCGGCGGCGGCGGCGCGCACCTCGAGCATGGCATTGTACCACACCTGTTGCTCCGCCTCGCTGGCCGCTGCGACGCCCAGGCTGCTGTCGCGCGTGTAGAGAACAATCAAGTGGCGCTGGCGCGCGTCCGCGCGCTTACTGATGGTGCACGCGCCCGCCAGGCTCACGCTGCGCCGGGGCTGCGCCCCGCCGCTACAGCCGGAGCGGAACTTCTTCTCACTCTCATAGCACTCGAGGCGCGGCGGGTCCTCCCGCAGCACGAAGAACCGGCGGCGCTGGGACTTCTGCTTCCGTAGGTGGCCGCAGAGCCGCACGTCTGCCGGACAGGGCCAGGGCAGCGGCGGGCAGAGGGGCACGTCCGCTGACTCCAACTCCTGGGTGGCTGTGGGGCCGCCGCCTGCGGCGTTCATCCCGGGCCACAGGCAATAAAGTGGGCCGGCGAATAGCCGATCCGCTGGGTCTAGTTCCCTGGACCGCTGGGAAAGGCCAGCAGAAGTGGGGTTGATGTGTCAGGTCCAGGAGGGAGAGCAGCGACCCCACAGGCTGCGACCGTCTAGGTGCCGGCGACTCTCCCCGGCTCTCTAAAGTTTGGGACACACACACAGCGTGTGTCTCAGTGGCTGCCCAGTAGCCTGTGACACCCAGAGCTCCCTAGGGCCTCCGCGGTTGACCCTGCTGGGTCCCGTCCCTCCCGCCCTACGCCGACCGCTGCCGGAATCCCCACCCACTCGAGGTTTACCCTCGCTCACCTGGGCGCAGGAGTTGGAGTCTGCAAGTGGAGACGAGGGGTCCTGCGCCCCTGGGGACGATGCCTTAGCAGGGGCGGGGACTGTGCTGTCGTCTCCGCCAATCAACTGACCAGTTGTGGGGGCGGAGAAGGGCAGCGCCTGCTGCAGGCAGGAGCTACGCGAAAGCAATGTGTGAGGCGGGTGTGATTGGACTTCGCGGTGATGGCGCTAGCGATTAGAGGGTGGCCAAGAGGGCCATCCTTACAGCAGCCTCCCCTCCGGCCTTAATTACTCCACTGGACCACTAGGCGTCGGTCTCCTGTGTACACTCTTCCCATTCAGAGACGATTTTGTGCTTTTTCCTGCAAATCGCCCCGACAGCCATGGCTGCTGAGCTGTGGGCTGGTCTGATTTCTGAGTTGCAGGTTAAGTTTGTCTGTGGGTTTGGGGTGACAGGAGGTGTTTTAGGATAGGTAGACTTGTGCACAGATCATACTCCCCAGAATCCCTAAGTAGCCACGGAAGGACCTGCAGAGAAAGAGGCCATCTCTCAGGGACACCTCCATGCTGCTCCATTGCTTTCAGCCCCCTCCTCACCATCACACCCCGAAAATGCTACCCGGACCAGCTAAAGACACTGCTCACAGAAGTGTGGGCTCCCTTGTGCATGTCCTCTTTGCCCTTTGCATACTGAGAAGTTTGGCTGGGGCTGGAGGGTTGGACATTTTTGTGCCTCAATTCTCTCAGGACCACTGCACAGTTCAGGGGAAGGATAGTGCTGGCCAGTGCACACCTTCAGACAAGCCCAGGTGACATATAAAGTCTCATAAGGATGGGGCCTTATCAGACTTCAGTGGAGTATATGATCTCATTCCCATGGGCAAGCAATATTACTGCAGGGGAAAACTGAGGGCCTGATGGGGAAGAGGTCAAGCTGTGGCTTCTGTTAAAGAAGGTATTGAGGGGCTGGGGATGGCTCAAGCGGTAGCCCGCTGGCCTGGCATGCGTGCGGCCCGGGTTTGATCCTCAGCACCACATACCAACAAAGATGTTGTGTCCCCCAAGAACTAAAAAATAAATATTAAAAAAAATTCTCTCTCTCTCTCTCCTCACTTTCTCTTTAAAAAAAAAAAAAAAAAAAGAAGAAGGTATTGGGCTGGGAGTGGTGGCACAGGCCTGTAATCCCAGCATCTCTGGAGGCTGAGGCAGGAGGATTGCAAGTTCAAAGCCAGATCTGGCAATTTAGTGAGACCCTGTCTCAAAATAAAAAGGGCTGGGGATGTGGCTGTGACTCAGTAGTTGAATGCCCCTGGGTTCAATCCCCAGTACCAGAAAGAGAAAAGGTATTGGGAAAGGGCTCCCTCAGATAGAGAACAGAAACAAGGAAACCTGGTTCTTTTTCTTAGACTAGTTCTTAAAGGCAGCCTGAGCAGAAGAGGGCAGGGCTTCCTGAAAATGGGGCCCTTTTCTGAGCTGAATACTGGAGAAGACAGCCTGCTGTGTGTGGTACTGGGATCCCTTAGCACCTTTCCTTTTTTTGGAGGGTAGGTACCGGGGGATTGAACTCAAGGGCACTCAGACACTGAGCCATATCCCCAGCCCTGTATTATATTTTTTTAAAAATATATTTTTTAGTTGTAGATGGATACAATACCATTATTTATTTATTTTTATTTGGTGCTGAGGATTGAGCCCAGTGCCTCACATGTGCTAGGCAAGTGCTCTACCACTTACCTATAACCCCTGCCCCCCTATTTTGTATTTTATTTAGACACAGGGTTTCACTGTGTTGTTCAGTACAACTTGCTTTGAACTCATGAAACTTCTGCCACAGCTTCCCAAGCTGCTGGGATTACAGGCATATGCCATCACACCTGGCCCTTGAGCACTTTTTCAAAGGCCGTGCTGAGAGCAAGATGCAGGGATTTCCAAGGATGGGTGGATGGGCATCTGGCAAGGTGTGCAGGGTCTGCTCAGGTGTCTGTTGGTCAGCCAAAGTCCCATCCAGGGTCAGGAAACTTCTTTGCAGATCAGCTGGTGTGGTGGGAGGCAGTGGCCACTGCCCAGAGGTGGATACTGGCCAAGGAGAGGCAAGTATGGGATGGATCCCTTAGTAGCCACACAAACAGGACTACGTTCAAGGCCAGAGGCCCCTGTGAGGCCAAGAGGCTTGATGTGGGCACCATGTGAGAAGTGACAGGATCACAAAAGATGTCTGCACACCCCTCCCCTTCCCAGTCTTGCTGCCACCTCAATGGCCCACGCCCCTGCTGTGCTGCTGGCCTGGGAGCCCGGACTCCCCTAAGCTTGCTGCAAACCTATCTAAGGAGGCTCTCTTCATGCCTTCTTCCGGTCTCCCTCAACCAGGTCATCTTGCAACACCTGTCCTTGTGAAATCACAGTGACTGTCACACAGACAGCCCCAAACCACATTGTGTCATTGAGCCCTGGAGTGCCGGGTAAAGATAACACAGGAAGCAGCAGCAATCTGAGAGCCTGGAGAGTGGGCAAGCAATGGTGGGAGGTCAGGGGAGGTAGTCAATGCCAGTGAGCTGGCCTGCTGGGTACCAGGAAAAGCCTGGAGTCCAGCTGGTCTACAACAGTCGTCCTAGCAACAACACTGCCCTAGCCCTGTTTCTCCCCAGTGACAGAAGTGGCAGAACTTCAGCTCCACCAGGAGTGCCCCTCCCAACCTGAGGGTTCTACCTTTGTATCCTCATCCAGGTGCCATGTTCCACACCGGTGGAAGAATCTTGTTACCAGGGGGAGGAAGCCAATGGGAAGAGTTCCATGTGGGGTCTTTCTCTTCTGTGAACATGAGTGCCATAGATTTAGCCCCTCCCTCCCACCTTTTGGGTCCCAGGTGGAGAGAATCCTGGGGGCTGTCCCCTGCACCCTTTCCCATAGGGACTGCCTACAGGTAACCCACTGAAGACTGGGTCCAAACCAGAGGACTGTAGGGCAGGGGCACAGTGTTGGCCAGGGGCATGTGTCAAGGGGAGAACTTTGCTAGAAGGTAAAGAAACTGGTGTGTCACTCCAGCCTCCTGCCTATGCATAGAGGGTTTAGATTTGCAGCTGCCAGGCGAGGCTGTGCAGGGAGGAATTTAGCCCAGTCATTTCAGACATTTTTTGTCAGGCCAGGGCTCTTTCCATGCTTTGTCACTGGCCTGTAGAAGGAGGCTGCATGGAGGAGGGCTGGGGCTGCTCATGCCAAGGGAGGCAGCTGCACTCCTAGCCTCAGCCTGTACCCAGAAACTTTTTGATTTTTCTGCCCTGGGCTGTAGGGCTGATCTGGCCCTCTGTCCATGTCAGACAGAGGGACTGGAGGGACCGGAGGGCTGCAGGGAGGCCCAGAACCCATGCAGCAAGAAGGCAGTAAGAAAATCCCTGGGAGATAGCATGGTGTGCCTGAAACGCAGGTGGAAGGCCATTTAGCTCTCTTCAAACCTCAGTGTTTTTTTTGGAGCTAGGAAAGGGTGACTGAAGCTAAGGGGAAAATAAGCTCCAGATTTTAGCTTCTCTCTCTTAGCCCTAAGCAGAAAGAAAGAATGGGAAACAGCAGTAGGGAGGACAGAGTGATAAACAAGTGGTAGAGAAAAATACTGGGAGAGCAGGAAGAGATAATTTCCATGGGAAGTAAAGGATGGGTACACCTGGGAGACCCCCAACAAGAGAGAGGAGGGGAGAGGCTGGGTGAGTGGGGACACAGACTCAGGCGGGGTGGAAATTGACTTTTGGAAAAAGAAGGCCAAGCCTGGCTGGGCAAACAGCAGCAACTAGAGGTCTTTCCAGCAAATTCTGCAAAGCAAATAAACTGATGACCCAATCCCTACATTTCCTTGTTGCTGTCAGTGGAAGACCCATAGCAATCCCAAGAATGACAGCTCAAGGGCTGTTCCAGGGCAATGGTATGAGGGGAGGGGCCTTTCCTGGCCTTGGGTTAAAAACAGCAAGGCCAAGTCCTAGGCCTCAGCCTCAGAGGTGTTTACCCAGTGACTGTCTTGTCACCACATAAACAGTCCAGACACCTGGCTGTTGACACAACAGCTTGGGGTAGAAACATCTAGTGGAGGCTGATAACAGTTGGGGGTGGGGAGGGAGGCTGATGTATTCGTTGGGTCCACTTCCGCCTCCAAGTGGCAGCTGCTTCTTCTGGTGGGAACTGCCCCTTCACTACATCCAACAAAGCCCAATATCCGCAGGGGTTGTCCCCGGACTCCTGATATGCTCCTTCCCCTTGCTAACACAGAACTCGGGTTCAGACAGGGACTGGCTCTGTCCAGTCATGAGTCCTGTCGTCCCTTAACACAGCCTGGTCATCAGCCCAGGCAGTCCAGACCGGTGGAGCCAAGTCAAGAATCAGTCAGTTGGCTGACCTGTGATCCCTCAGGCTGGCCCAAAGCAAGACCAGAGAGCCATTTCCTTTACTTTCAAATGCAGTTCTTTCTAACATTGCCTGCAACGAGCTTTGGTGCAGAAATTTGGTAGGGGGTGAGGCATGTGGAAAAAGAAAGGAAAACAAAACAAACAAAAAAACAAGTCCCAGTCAACTGCATGAAGCCTTTCCCTGGAAAAACCCAGGCTCTGGGGTGGTCAGGACACATGGCTGCCCTCCCCCCATTCCCTGGGACCTCAGTGTTGGTGGTCCTGGCACAGATGGGGATTTCTCCCCACTCTCCATGTTAAAGAGCTGTCTGGGAGAGGCAGCACGGCTGGGTGTGTGTCTATGTATGTGCATATATATGTGTACATATATTTATATATATAATAAGCTATATTAGAAAATTCTCTCTATGTATAAATATAAAACACTGGTATCCAAACATGACACCAATGGCTAACTAAAGTGCTTGATAGAAGTTGGGCATGTGTCAGTATGCAGGTAAAACTAGCCTCCTGAGTGCCAGGACTGGATGAACTGGGGAAGCAAAAAAAGAAAGTGGACAGAAGCAGGTGTGGCCCCGCCAGGGCACCAAGGGCACTGGGCTGTCTGGCCGCCCTCCCACACCATTGCCATGCCTCATCTTTCCCCTGCTTTCCCCACTGCAGTAGTGTCCAGGAGGAGCACAGTGTTGGAGAGCTGGGTATGGCGCAAGCGTGGGTCCTATGG